GAATGCCCGGGGATGCCAGGCTCGGCCAGCTCATGTGAATGGCCGGACCCGTCGCCGAGCCCAGTCCAGGGCGGTCGGCCCGGCACCCAATGCTACTTCGTGCGCAGCGTAGTGAAGTCAGACCATGAAGGACTCCCCCGAGCTGAAGTCACCGAGGCGCCCAGCGCTCAGCCCCCGCATCCCTCAAGCGCCGGGTGCTGCTTCTCTGCAAAGTCGCGCCTCCTCATCGCCCGAGGTAACCCGCGGGCGCTCGCCGGAACCGCGTCCTGTCGCGCCCGCTCGTCGTCCTGCGCCCCCAGCGCCCCTGGCTCCGAGCCCGCGGGTGCGCAGGATCCTGGCCTGGATGCGGTGTCGGCGCCCGCCCCGGACGGGCCCTCGAGAGGAGGCGGTAGCGGTGAGGAAGGAGGACGCAGGGGCGCCTGAGGCCAGGCCGGAGCCCGGGCCTGTCCGCCGGGATGAGCCCGAGGAGGAGGAGGACGATGAGGATGACCTCAAGGCCGTGGCCACCTCCCTGGACGGCCGCTTCCTCAAGTTCGACATCGAGCTGGGCCGCGGCTCCTTCAAGACGGTGTACAAGGGGCTGGACACGGAGACCTGGGTGGAGGTGGCCTGGTGCGAGCTGCAGGTGCGTGGTGGGCCCTGCATGTCCTCCTTCCGTGCCTGGCCTACCTGGCCTGAAGCAGCGCTCACCTTTGTGTGTGACCGGCGTGTGGGGCGGGGTGAGGGTGGCTCCATGTGGTACCGATTGGGGGTGGAGGTGGGATCTCCCCGTGTGTGGCCTCCGAGTCTGGCACAACGTGGCCCACACGAGAGTGAGCACTTGGAGGGTGTGTCTCTCACGGCCCCTCCCTACTCGGAACTCAGGGCTGTACTGACCCAGGCGGTGTGGATCCTGTGTCCTTGCAGAAGTGTGGGGGCTGCCGGGCAGTCCTGGGCTTGGGAACTCTGAGCTGCGCTTTAATGAGCACCTTCCAGTCTTGCCAGGTGTAGGTGCCCTGGCCTGGGGTCCCTAAGGGGCTGCTCCGGACCCAGGCCTGTTGAGGGTGGGCTGGTGGTCCTGGGCTGCTGGACGAGGCCTGGAAGTGCTGTGAGTGCTTCTCGGAGCTCCCAAAGCCCATTTGTTCACAAAGTGGGTGCGTGAGGTCTTAAAACTCAGTGATGCTGAAGGCAGATGGGTGGCTTTTTTTTTTTTTTTTTTTTGCAAAGGCTCTGGGCATGCATTTTTCATCACCTTGCCCTTGCGATGGCTGTGTCAGTCCCAGCCCTGGAAGATTATATAAACCGTAACCCGAGCTGCCCTGGGCGCCGTGGCAGCCTGGGCCATGCCTGTAACAGTGGGTGTTTACTGGCCCTCTGTCTTGTGGGGGCAGCTGTCCAGCATGAGGCCGGCCTCGGTGGTGTAAGCTGACCCCAGCGCCCGTAAAGCTAGCCGGGCCTTCCAGGTTTGACGCAGGCCACTGCCACACTGCAGGCTGCCTGCCTTTCGGCTCAGAAAAGGGATTTGGTTGCTCTGTCCTCCAGGCTCTGGCTAGATGTGTGTGTGTGTGTGTGTGTGTGTGTGTGTGTGTGTTTGAGAGAGAAGGAGAGAGAGCACGGGCACGCTGGACTAGGCTGGTGGTGCTGACTTGTCCTCAGCCTTTTTCCTGAGACAAAGGACCCAGAGGTCGCCCTCCCGAGTGAAGCCCTTGGTCCTGCTGTGGAAATGCAGGCGTGTCCCAGGGAGTCCCTGGACGAAAGAGCTGCCCCTCCCCTTCATGGCCCTGCTGAGGTGGCCGGGGCCTGAGATGGCACGGGAGTGAGTGGGCATCACTGCTCACGAGAATGCAGAGGAGCGAAGATCTGAGAGGGAAGATCAGGGACGAGGGGTGGGGGAGGGAGGAGGAGGCTTCCTGGTTCTAGAGAGTAGCTGTGCAGTCCCACCGCCCAGTGATCCGGCCTCCGGCATGGCAGTGCGCACCCCGGTGCTCCCGGGTCATGCCCAGGCAGGAGGCGGCAGGCCTGGTGAGACCTCAGCCGTGGAGCACAGGGGATTTGGCCGCGGCATTGTGGGTGCTGTGACCCCGGCGGGAGGAGGAGGCTGTCGCCCCTCATTTCCTTTAGGGCAAGGGCCTGAGCAGAGCTCAGAGGTGGAGCCTGCCTTGTCCAGGGCCTGGACTTGGTGGTGGGAAGGCTGGAGAAGGCCTCCATGTGCCTTGGCCCGGCGTTCCCGGGAGTCCCGAGCCAGCAGGGAGACCGTCCTGTATCTCCCCAGTGAGGGTCCTGCTCATGTTTGCCTCAGCCAGTGCAGCGCTGGGCGTCTGCCTGCTGCTGGGGGGTGAGGACCAGCTGAGGGCAGCTGGGAACCTGCTCCTCACCCCACCAGAGGCTGCTGTTTCCCCCACTTTATTGAGGACCCCCACTCAGGCCAGCGGTGAGGACATAGGTGGAGAGGAGATAGCATCATCCTGGGAGGAGGCCCAGCCTGGTGGCCGTCCACTTAGGCTTGGAGATGAGTGTGGAGGGTAGGGTGTCAGGTTAGGCCTGGAGGACCACTGCACATGGGGAGCACAGTGGGTGGTGTTCTGGCTTTTTGCCTAGAGAGGGCTCCAGTGTGGACGCCTGATGTCAGGCTCCCTCCCAGTGGAGGGTGGGTCACCTGGAGCGTCGCCGTCAGTGCAGGGAGCTTCACACAGGAGGCTTCCTAGCCCTCAGGGCCTTCCCTGTCTCAGAACGCCTGGCCGGCAGCTTCCGACACCCAAGTCCCACCCTCAGAGTCTGTGTAATTTCTCACCCTCTGCATGCAGGGGGCGTTGGCACCTCTGGGCGCCTCTGGGGCACCCAGAACTGAGACAGCGTCACCTGCCTGCTTTTTCTGGGTCTCCTGCCCGGGGAAGGCCGTGCGCGTTTCTGGATCTCACAGTGTGACTTGGAGGACATCAGATCCCCTTGGCGTCCTCAGTGTTGGAAGTGCTTTGCCGAGGGAGCAGTGAGGCGTCACCTGAACTCTGCACATGTCCAGAGATGACACTGATGTTTTGGGGAAGCCATTTTAAAGTATTATTCCTGTCTCTTTTCTTCCAAGTGGACGTTTATCCTGGCATCAGACCACATTACGATATTGAGGTAGGAAGTGCAAGTGTGCCCAGAATCGCTGCCCTCGCTCTGGCTCAGGTTCCCACGTCTCCACGTCCTTGGGCCACCGCCGGCCCACGAGGGGTCCACGGGGACCCCTCTTACAGACGGTGCTCGAGTCGGCGCTGATCCTGCCCCGCGGCCGGAGCGGAGTCTGCGCACGGCCCAGCTGCTCGGGTCACTGCACTTCTGTGCCAGTGGGAGACCTGGAGAGAAAACGAAG